GCGCTAAATCAGACATGCCAATTTCCCCTTCTTCGCTGTCAGTCACTTTCCTTGCCAGGCATTTCCTCAGAAATAATGCCGGCTTTTACGAAAGCTTGAACAACAGAGCCAGCAGAAACGTTAGTCCAAGCATCTACAATCCATCCGCTAACGGTGGCGTAACTTGCACGGCGCTGCCTTCCACTTTTTGTGGAATTATTCTGCCGGCAGAATATGTTCGCTTCTATTATCCTGCTGCCTGCAGTTTAGATTGTACCAGTTAGTTCTGATGTGCGGCTGATGCAGCTTTGCTGCTCTGGCTGCGCGGTGCAAAAGTGTGTCTGACGCGCGTTGGGCGGAGCTACTCTATCCTTTCTTTGCCTTGCAGCTATAATTGCTGTCCAGCAGCAAAACTTCAATTTTTCCATCTTGAGCTGCAGCAGCGCGTTGGCGGCGCCTCAGATGCTTAAACGCTCCCAACGCGCTGAGCCTGCTGCTCAAAACGCGCTGCGGGAGCTTTTGCTGCGCCTTGACACGCGTCAACCATTGACTTTGCATGTAAACTCGCTGCGCCTGCTGCACCTGCTGCGTCCGGTTCACACCGATGTCAAGCGGTTGAATAACAGCGAGCACAGCTTAATTTGTTTCACCATGTTTTTAACATCGGCTGTGAGATGGGCACGCATGGAGTCACAGATTAACAGCGATGGTGATGAGTGGAAAAAAACCACCTGGTCTCCTTACATTCACCTCCCTCAGCCACTCTTTCATCATCTCCTTAATGAGGAGTTCTACATGGTGCATGGTGGTCTCAGAAGTACATAGGGCGCGCCGCACATTTTGAGAAAAAAAAAGACGTTTATATGCGCCTTATAGTCGTGAAAATACGGTATTTTGCTGTGTGTTTCAGAAATAATGTTAAATAAAGGGGATATCTTTCTGCCTTCCTCCTTTCAGCCTCGCAGGAGAATGGTTGGCATAGAGAACTACGGGCTGCAGCCCTGAGTACCGACCCAGTCATGGAGCAGAACCTGCAAACCGCCTTCCTGCTGCTCAGGACACCCAGCTGGAATTAGAAAGCTTCTTCTTTTTCACATTAGATCAAATCTTGTTTGTTAAAGCCTTGGAAAAGGCGGCACACGTGATTTTTTTCTCTCCAGTCAAATCTTTGTGGTTCTTATTGCGGGCGGGGTAACACCAGAACCGCAGGGAGACGTCGGCTGTCTGCATTTTTAGAAGCTGTTTAGTTTTTTTTATTGCTGAAATGATTATAACTGAATTGAGTTTTTACGTAGAAATAAAATGCTTGCTGTGTCGCTCCGTGTTCTGTTTGGTCAGTAATGACTGGGTCCACTGGGCCACAGCAGGGGTTCTGTGACGGATCATCGGATGGTACTAACCCAGAAAATCTGCCAATCTGGATTCTGCTCATTTTTCATGTTGGTTTCATGAACCAAGCCACTAAAAATCTGTTGATTGGTCCTCAATTGACATACAGTCATTTTGAATAATATGTTTGGATCTAACTAGGACTGTTTGGGCATCTCAGGTCCCGTTCCAGTTCACCAGATCATCCAGTCAGATGATTCAGTTTTCTATCTAAGGAAAACCAG